CTGCAGCGAGCAGCACCAAAAGAATTCAACCAAGCGTCATCATCGCAGACGGTTCCCCATTCACCATTGTGGAAGATTTCCACTCGTCCTTGGTACTCGCATGAGCCATCCATCAGTCGCACAGAGCCCTCCTCGACCTGCCAGTTGAATGAAATTCTGAGGTCAAGTGAAGCGGCTTCGGGTCGTTTCAGTGCCAAAACAACACTCTGACGAACACCTCACATGGAAGTGGAGTGAGTGAAAACCCCGGTCGTTCGTGGGCAGGACCACGAACATCTTCCCGAGGCATCGGAAGGCATCGACCGTTCCACGTCTACCTCCATGTGTTCGGGTGTTCGCCAGAGTGTCATCTAAGAACTTCTGAGTTCGGTTTCTCATCACGAAGAACCTTCATGAAGGATCTCGTCGGGGCCGACCACGAACGCATCGAACGCACGTCTTTGACAATCGTCCTCTCCTCTTCGCCCAACGCACCGATCACAAGGCAAAACCTGTCATCGATGTCCCACCGGAACGGTGACAGGACTGGAAGAATGGAGGAATGTCGGAAAGTGCCAGGGTCAAACTAAATTCACTTGATTCTTGATCTGCCCAGCTGTTTCTTCCCAGCAGTGTTCTTTTTGTATGGTTTTCTTCTGGGTGGCACAATTGACTCCCCAAAAGACCGGATTCATGTGCGCCATGGTGCCATGTGCCCGTTTTGTTGAACCGCCCAAGGCACAGCAGCATCTTGTAACATCTTCGTCTTCTTCGCATGAAGATGAAGGAACCAGCGATCAAGTAGGGACCGCCTGCACAGCTGCAAGGAACTGAGCTGTCAACATTGTTTTGCTGATGGCAACATCTGGGTAGCAAAACCTCCGAAAGCAGTCCCTATCAACAAGCGTGCAAAGCGCACTTTGGTTTCTCGAACATGCAAACCTGCTTCAATCCGAAGCTGCCAAGAAAACCTGTGATTGCGCCATGCTGCACACACACGCAAAAAACACCGGAGGACTCGATCCGCTCCTTCGGCGGGCACCAGTAGCTCGTAGCTCAGTCGGAATCCTCTCCAGGCCGAAGCTAGTGCTTGGAAAAACGCCCCAGGCCGATGCCCGGGCACTTGGGAGGATGGTTCTTGCGATGCCGCCAGACTCTGACAATGAAAGACACAAAACTGACTTGTGCGACTTGTAAAGAATGAGTAGGAATGAGGGTGGTTGGATCCAAAGGAATCTCTATTGAGGGCTCATGAGGCCTCATTCTCTACAAGTCGCACAACCATCAGGAAACGATAGAACGCGGCTCAAACTCAGCCACGCACGTGGCCACGCGCGTGTTCGGTTGGCATCTTTTCGTCTACTTCGTAGAGTCTGAGCCAAACTAGCACGAATGGATCAGCAGCCCATACCTAAACGACTAATTAATCACTCACATCCTGCAAGAGTTTGCAGACGCAAATGCACGTTACCGTGTACACTGCCCAAATGATTCCAACAATGAAACGCAGCGTTTTTCATCGCCCGTCTGCCATCGCCCGGACTCGACTCGTCTTCTCACAAACCGTGGCATCGTTGCCGTCCTGGACATAGATCGACCTGGCGACGTGTGTGTGTCAAACCCTGGTCCTAAAGGGTCCCAGGTTTTTCACTTGCAGGGGGACAAGGCCTCCAGCGATGAACCTTGTCCAACGAAGCTAAATCGCTGGAGGGGAAGCGAATGGAGACGTCCATTCGTGCACCTGCAACCGGAACGTTTGATCAAGCTGTGACTCCACTTTCCACTTTTGGTTCATGGTCCTTCATGATACTTCCCCCAAACAGGTTTCCCTCCGCAGCTTTCCACCGTTGCTGAGCGCTTCTGCAGTCAAGTGTGAAACTCCTTTGTTAAAACACCTACAATTTCTCGGACCCTTCGCCATGCTGTTCCCTCGCCTTTCTTCCACTTGGGAATCGATTAATTGAAAACCAATGTCAGAGTGTGAGTTGTGTTGCAAGTCATACCAATGTCTTGCCAGAACCGTCATTAGTTGGACTGCGCTAGTACTCCCACGTTTTGCACACCATTCCCGTTTGCCTCTCAAATCTCAAAAAAGAACGCTGGATCATGATGAATCCTGATCCCTTGCTCTGCAAGAATCTTTCTTCAGCTATTCTTGAATCATTCTTCGGTGACCCCACGGTCACCACCAGTCTTTTTCCAACCGACCACCACTCCACACAAACCACTTGTCCATCCTCTGAGCCCTCGTTGATTGGAAAATCCGAATCAACCATTCCTCGCAAGGCTGCGTTCTTCACTAGACAGCGTTGAGGTCACGACGTTGGGGAGCACGACCAACTCCCGAGGTTCCTACGAGTTGGCGACGCGAGGCAACCGTGCCGCCCTGGGCCCTCCAGACATTCAGGATGATCTCCAAGGCAATGCCTTGGAGGCGAGTTTCGATGGGGGATTGGTGGGCAGGGTTTCGATTGATGTTTCAGAGGTCTTAGCAGCGGTTTTAGAGGTGAGAAATGGCACCCCCCTACACCATTCACCATGTGGATCGCAGAAGAGGTTGATCTCCTTGCGCTCTTTGAGCCTGACCAGTCACTGTCGCTAAAGGTCTCAAGCAACCATCTGGTCTCCAAGGTCTTGACAATGAGTCCTCTTCCCGGTTCCGGCATTTCAAGAATGGTGTGTTGGCCCAAAGTATCTTTCAGATACCCGATCGATCTGCCCAGCTTTCGAAGACTTCCTGTGGTAGGATTCGACATGGATCCTGCCAGCTCCTTTATCGCAAAGGCCACGTCAGGGCGCTCCTGCGAAAGGTAAGTGCCACAACCAACCACAGGTCGAAACAAGCTTGCCAACTCCGGCTCAAGCAATGTCGCCCCATCAGGCTCAAGCATCTCCTGAGTGCATGGCAGCTTCTGAATCTTTGCTTTGCCCATTGTAGCCTCATAGCTTTCAATCATTGTCTCCGCATACTTTCCAGGCGTGATCTTCAGGCCATTCTCTAAAAGCTCGTATGTTCTCCTCAAGAACTGGAAGGAAGTTCCTGGTTCCGTCAAGTACTGCGCCGAGATCTCATAGATCTCTCTCAATGCTGGTAGCAACTTCTCTTCAAGATACCTTCTCTCTCCTGTAAACAGGACATCATCAACGTGGATGAGGAGTAGTGCTTTCGACTCCAAGCATGGATTGATCTGCGAGAAGACGAAACCCTCTGTCTTCAACCATGACGTCAACATGCTTTTGCACCATTCCTCTGTCCTGGCAGGTTGCGCTTCACTAAGAAATGGCCCCCTGCCGTGGTCACCTGCGCGGGCTCTTCCTGAGGCACCTGCAAAAAGGCATCTTTGAAACCTAACACGAAGTTTGGCCCTCCTGACTCCTCTTCATGCCTTCTCATCAAGTATACCACAGGAAGAAGTCTCAAAGCTTGTGATCCAGTTGCAGGACTGTGGACATCATCCCGCTTGTAGTTGGCATACTCCCTGGCTACCAGACGTGAGCGTCTCGTGACCCTTCCTTTGAGGTATTTGTTTTGATGCTCCAATCTCTCACAAACCTGGTGGTCTTCCTTCAGCTCTGCAACAGACTCCAGGACTCCTAATCTCTTCAATCTCCATTCTTCTACCGAGTCCGCCAAATCATCTACCCACTTCGGCGGATCTGGTGGGGTTCTGTCAAGTGGTGCCTCTGACCACAAAGCTTTCGGCACTTCATGCTTGTCTTCCTCTTCGGCCTCATGGACCTCATAGTCATAGGCCCGCAACTCCTCCTGTCCCACCGTCTGATCAAGGTGGTAGTAGATATCGTCACCAACCTGCGTCATCTCCAGCCTTCTTTCCACTGTCTCATCTGCCTTCAACCTCTTTGATGCTGATGAATCCGCTTCAAGGCTTTGCGCTGGCTTCACCACCGTCTGTTCCAACTTCTTTCCCTCTGGTTCTTGACCACTTTGGGACGCAGGCATCTTCTCAGCCATAGGTCTCGGTGTTGAAGGAACTGCCTGATTCCCGCTCTCATCAATCTGGTCAGGATCTTTTGCTACAACTGGCACCAACCCCGGGATTGGATCCTCCTCAAAGGTCTTCTTCTTATCTTCTCGAACCTGAGCTTCCTCTGCTATCTCCTTTTGACTCAACCCAGGCTGCTTTTCCTTCACCTTCTCTTCTTCCGTGACCAAGTCCCGGGCTTCCTCCACTTTCCCTGCAAAGGACCTGCTAAATGCAAGAACTTCTTTGGCATCTTGATCATCATCTGCTATCTCTGGGAAAGGGACATTGATCTGGGCGCCAACCATAGATGCAAGTCTCTTCGATGGAACAATTCTTCCTCCGAAGTTTTGCTGATACTCCCAACTATATGCTGTGAAGTTTTGGAAACAAGTCAGGTACTCCTTGCTCATATTAGCCACCCTTCTCACAGACCGGCTCAAGCAGACGCGGTTGCCATCTCCAATGATCCAAATGCCTTGGAGATCTGTCTTGCCCAAACAAATGCCAATCTTCCACTTCGGATCAGCCTTGAAACCTTGTTTCGGTTTGGCGTACGCAAAGCAAACTTCTCCATATGGACTGATCTTCCCCTCATAGGCCTTGCCCTGGGTGAGCTCATAGCTGGTCGCACCTTGGAAAGGTTGATATCGATTGATCAGCCATGCACGGTGTCTGCATGCCCAGCTCCATAGGGGATGAACTGAATCTCAATCCAATTCTTCCAGCAAGATCCTCCATCAAAGTCGCTGCCAAGCTTCTCACTCTCTGGACTGCATTTTCCACAAGGCTGTTCTCAGCCGAGTCATAAATCCTTGTCGTTCTTGAAGTCGTATTCAATCCTCCGAGAAGCCACTAGCAATCGAAGAATCTGCCGGGCTGTTGGTTCGTTGTCTGCCAAGTACATCACCGATTCATGTCCTAGGACCTGGGTGAACGCCATCAGCTCGTGGGTGAACAAGGACATCTGATTCTTGGTCTTCAACGTTAATGCCATCAATGAACCTGTTTCTGAGCACACTGCCACTAGCAACAAAGCTCCTCCATCCTCAGCTACTCCAGCTTGTGCCTCATCTTGCTCTTGCTGACCCAAAGCACCTGATCCGCTGGCTCGCGCTCGACAAAAGTCGAAAAGAGATGGTTGGGACTCCTTGCTCATGTGACTTGCCCGTCCTTCGATGTTGGTCTTGTTTTGCTCTGTGCTTCACACACGAAGAACACCAGCCAGCATAGGGAAGATGAGTCAAGTAATGCCTTTTCTTCTCTTCTTCAGTAGGCATCTTCGCCACAGCTTGCTCGATGGGAATCCGCTCCTCAAAGGCTTTTCCCCTTGGCTAGAAGAAGTTCCAGCTTCTTCTGGTGATCCAAAAGACGTCCATAGCACTTTGCCTTTCCTCCACTCTGACCGATGCTATAGAATCCACAGGCTGCTCTGAGATTCCTCAAAGGCGAATCTGCCGTCAACTCAATGCCATTCACCTTGATGCTTCTTGGTAATGGCTTTCCAATCTCATGCTCAACTCTTTGGTCATCAAGATCAACTCCATGGTCTTCAATTCCTCCTGGAACCTCTACCAGCACAGGTCAAGTGGACACATAGGTCGTTGTTTTGAGAGGACGTATAGCTCAAGTTTCTGGCATGCACATCGTACTCCACAAAAATTGAGCGCTCCACACTGTCATCTTCAGCCAATACAGCTGATAACCGCAGGACATGTTTGGTTGATTGCATGTGTTTGATCCAACCAGCTTTGTGTGCTGGAGGTGGCACTTGTCCCAAAACTGCAGATCAGGGTCTTAAGTGACATCCGTGCAGCTTGGTGTGCCAAAGTTTTGCTTGTCCACCCTGTTTGCTCTGTGCAAGAACCCACTCAGGTTTATATTTTTGAAACTTCCGCCCTTAGCCTTGTCGGGGTTAGTGTGTTTAGCATGTTTTTGCTGAACAATGGCTTGTGTGTGATTGAATGTGAAATTGGGTTACAGTGCGTTTACATGCGCACTTTCGTTCGATTTTCCCCAAACTGGTGGTTGCTTTTCCCCAAACGGGTGTTTTCGAATCTAGATTGCAATTTCTTGCTGAAACTTGGCCCGCTGACGCTTTTCAAACCGAGTGGAGACCATGACACAAGTAAAAGAGAAAATTGCTCTTGGAGGTCACACAGTTCTTGTGTTTTCTCAAGAACATGAGCTGAGAATATTGAGAGCCATCAATGTTTGAAACGCACCATCGCAGCACTTTTGCTGGCATGCGTGAGTGCCAACAGCGCTGAAGGTGCGGCTTGCAAGCTGTCCTTAGAGTCTTTGAGATGCTGCGTGTGATTTCTGTCTCTGCATGTGTTTGCACGGCCTTGCAAGGCTCAGCTATTGTCAAAGGATAGAGCGATAAAAAGCATTCGTTTCCCAAAGCTGGGACACAAGCTCCCTTCTGTGAAAGCACATGTGTTTGAATGGACCGCTTTAGGTGTATGTGTGTATGTATGTTTGTATGTATGGACTAGATACTTGAGATCCATGTACATTTTCCAAACACATTTACAACTAAATCCTTGGCCTGCTTGCGACTGTGCCAGTGTGTGGCCTTCATGGTGGGTCGTGCAGGGGTCCAACGTCAGAAACGTGCAGAACGAGTGGAGACGACTGGAAGTTTGTGGCCGCGTGGGTGTTTGAGAAGGGCTTCAACCAGGTTGTTTTTCCAATTTGTTGAGGAATACCCTGGATGTGTCTTCACAAGGAGACTCAGTCAATTGGTGGTCAAGAA